ATTACAGGTCACTTTACTATTATACCAGTATAGGTACTCTCAGTCCTTGTGACTTAAGTTCGCTATGTCTGAGCTTTGTCACCTGTAAGGAAAATAATACTAACACCCTTATACATTCCTTCAGTCCGTATTTATATAGTGAACTTACTGTGTAAGTTTTATAGAAACTATGGGCAGAAATAAAAGGTCACTGGAATTTTAGTCTAGAAAGTTGTCACCTTTAAGTGAGTTAATGCAAACAAAATACAGGAGAAGAAACTGCTAATGATCTCCAATGGCCACATCTCTTCTTTGTAGGTACACGGCCAGACTCTATCTCCCAGACTCCTTTGCTGCTAGATATGGTCATGTGATTTCACCTTGGCCAGTGGAATATGAAGGGAAGTATATGCATCTTTTCTGAGCTTCGCTCATGCCTCATCTTCATTTTCTTTGTTCATGAGCTACGTGATGAGGAGAACTCAGAGCCATGAGGAGAGTTCGGCCACCAGAGAGAAACACCTCTGGTCTTTGAATGATTGTGTAGAGCCTCTGCCTTGTCAACTACACCTAGACTATGATAAGAGTAATAAATACACTACTGTTGTATTAAGTTACTGGGATTTGGGCGTTTATTGTTACACATGGCTTTAATACATATCCATAGCAATATCTGCTCCATCAGATGTTCTAAATGACTGGCAGGATTTCTTTAACAAATATATTCCTAGTTCTTTTGTTTTGTGTTACAAAATAAGTACAGAGAAAGAAGAGAAGTAAAGAGGAATAAAGGAAGGAAGGAGGAAAGTAAACAAGCAAGCAATACGAAAGTTTTTAAAAACAGCTCAGATAAACTTTATGCTTAGATCCCCATTGGTCATTCGTGATACCCAGAGAAATATTTCCACTTCTGAGGTACAAACCATCTCCCTAGACAAATGAATTCCTGAACTGATTCACAGTGCTACGGCCTCATCCCTGCCTTCCTGGGCAGCAGCTGTTGCTGGTCTCAGCTGCCCCATCCCCTTCTCTGGCATCAGGTCACCAGAGCACGTGCTCTGCATGGGCTGCCTGCTGACAGAGACAGAAGAGCACTCTGCCAGGATTTTATCCAAGCAGATGTTAAGAGCTGGGAGAAATGCCCACGCTCCTGATAAGGTCTTGTGAACACACAGACAGATGTTACCTCTGGGGCTAATCCTCTCAGAGTGGACCCAGGCCATCTTGAGGCACTGCCTGTGCATATCCGTCCACTGAGGCCGTCATAGAGGACATCCTACCTCAGTATTCCTGTAGACGGAAGTGGCCTCCCTTGCTACTTAAGTCAGTTCTTCTTGGTAGATTTGTCATTACAGATAGGATGTATGCTTGTGTTGGCAAGTTAAATGTGTGCCAAGTATAAAGAGAGGAAGTTAATTTCCCCTTCTCCCTCCCACTCCCGCCAAATCAGCATCACCAGTTTAGCAACTCCCTTCCCTCCTTATTCCGTCTTCAGATAAACCAACACACGTTGGAAGGGCTCATTTCTCCAACTGTCATGATTTTTTTGGCCACACAAATACAATTATACAATATGAGTTTAAGTTGAAATTGCTTGATTTCACCTAACAATTTATTATAAATTTCCTCCCCCATGGGTATATTGAGTTTAAACCTAAATTCTTTTTTAACTAGATGTATACAAGTCCCTGGAAATAAATCTAGATTTCGAGACATCATCCATTTTAAGAGTTAATAATGGTAGCTGATTTTTTTTAAAAACAGAAAGTGAAATTTTAACTAAATTCATTTAAATTAGGAAATATTCTGACTTAAAATGAGCAAAAGAGTACACCGTGGAAGAATGTAGGAAATTCTTGAAAGCTCCCTGTGACAATAATGCTCCAAGAATGAATCTGGGGTTGGTTCCCATGTGAGAGCCTGGGGTCTAAGTCTTGGTGCTACGAGTCTGTCACACACGGCCTCTCCTCTAGGGAGTAGGTATGGCCTGAGCTGCCACTCAGCATTTCTCTTGCTTTATTCTTTGCAAACACAGTTTTCATACCACCCCTTAGGTCTGACTCTCCAAGGGAGGGACGGAAGGAGCCATGAGCATTAGCATGCAGGTCATACACTCTCTCTTTGTTCTCTGGGCTGAGGTCAGATGAAATAAATCAGTCAGCCTCTGCATCCAGGCAAAGTCTTCAGACTGTGTCCTGGAGCCTTCTAGTTCATGTGTGCGCTGCCCATCGTAGAATCAGCAGTAACAAATAGAACCAAATAGCCCCTTGGGGCAATAAGCAGCTGCTCCCAGGAACCTTTCCACTGTGGGTGTTCTTTGTGTGTTCCCAGAGTATCTGCATAAACTCTTCGAGGTATAGGAAAACACACTGCTAAGAGAAGATGTCACTTTGGATCTATTAGACCTGTGCTATGCACTTAACCACTAGTGCACCATGCTTACTGTCCGCTAGCAGGAAGGTGTGACTGGTTCTACAGACAGGAAGTTGGACTAGGAGACCCCGTGATTTGCCTAAGACTTACCTAGTAGTAGAACAAATGCAACACACAGAGTGCGCTTCCTATTTTGCCACACAGTCCATCTGTAGAGGGCAGTGTTTCTGATCACTGCAGTTCCCTGCAGGTATCCTGGCCTCCCACTCCCAAGCATGTTGTGATTAGATTTATACATTTCAGGCCTCTGAGTCCAAGAGACTTGTATTCTCATAGGGTCCTGAAAGACACAGTTATTTAGCTACCCTAGAACTCAAGACAGTCACTCAAACTCCCTGTCTATTCAACTCCCCAAGTTGGCGTTCTTGTGCTTTCCAGTCAGAATGACAAGGTTTTAGTTTAAGTTGGCCTGAAGATCATCCCGCCAGCCCTCTCATTTCACATGTGAGGAAACAGGATAGTGGGTACGCATGGCTGGGACATAGGAGCTAGGTGGAGGTGGATGAGAGGTGGTGTGGAACAGTACTGAAGGGGTGGCTAGAGGCTGAGAGAGGGCAGGCTTTGCAAGCCACAGCTGGCCAGTGCAGCCCTGCGCCTTTTTTTTTTTTTAAATTGTATTTGAACACAAGCACACACATTAATGAAACATTACATTTTTTTAACACTAAAACAGCCAAACTAGTTGGCCCTTCACACACATATAAGGTGTTTTCTGATCCCTGGGAAACAGAAGCATACAGCTAAATAGGTAACAACCTAGTGCATGGAAGGAGCCTTAAATTCACAGGTGTTTGTTACGTTAGGATAAGTAATGCAGATATCCATCGTTTAACAACCTACCTGGGTAACAGTTGTTCAGACTGATTCTTGGGTTTACAGTCCTCATTCAGACTTGCAATGCAGAAACATGAGTGGCAGTGTGGTTTTAAGGTGGCTTCCTCTACAGTGTAGTACTATGATTTTTGCTGATTGTACTTTACAGTACAGTACTATAGTTTTGTTTTGTTACTGCATGTAAGAGTTATGCAAATAAAAGCAAAGTCATCAAATTGGAGTTTCCTTTGACCATTTCTTTGTTCTAAATATTGTAATGTACATATTCATTTAGCAACTAATTCACTTAACAACTTGTTCCCAAGAAAGGGACTCACTGATTAAACAAGGAATATCTCTAACTATGTTAGAGGTGGGCCACTGCAGGTCACATATGATAAAGAAATGTTATTATGAAATTGTGAAAACAGCTACATGGGAAGAAAGGCAAGGATAGGGGAAGGAAAGAAGGAATCACCATTATTAAAGTTTAAACAGCTTTATCACCTGACCTACTTCGTCACCTGGATCTGACTTTTCCCCATTGCTCTGTGATACTCAAAACATGTTGGAGAGAGAGGAGCAACAGATGACAGGCTAGGATGAATACTTGGTTTGTGTGGTGTGGAGAGACTTGATCAAAGCAGAAAAAGGTCCCTAAAGAACATGCTGTTGAGAAAATTCAATACCTAGTCCTTTCCTCAAGAGGTGTCCTACATGCCCACTCCTAAGTCACCAGACCCTTCCAATGCCAGCAGCTCAGAAGTCCTGGAACATATTCTTGTGGCCAACATGGATATTCATTCAGGGATCTGAGGCTGAGTATGTAGATTAATGGTACTGGTGATAGAGTACCTGCCTCAGAGAAAAAGGCCCTGGATTCAGTACCTAGTTCTGGGGGGAAAAATACTATAGGCCACTACAGGCACTGTTCGATTTAATTCTGAACACAATCTTGTGAAATAAGGACTACTGTCACCCCATGTCAGAGATGAAATTCCCAGGGGACAAATCAAATCCAGGGGCAGCTTGCTCCAAAGCCCATACGCATACCGCCCAGGAAACAGGAGCTCCCTTCGGGTTGTCTTCATGAAAGCATGGTTTTTCTCTTGTGTGCAGTCCCTCAGGGGATGTGGGAGTGTTGGAGAAGAGGCCTTGAAGCCCCTCCTCAAGAAGTGGCAGGAGATTTGCACATTCAAACCCCTGGTTCCCATCCCTCGTGGGAAAATTCCCAGCAGCTTCAATTAGAGAACAGTCACAGTTCACTGAAGCCTGGGGCTCACAGGGGGCAGCTTTATTATTTTATATGTGAAAAATGAGGAAAGGGCCAGACCTGCAGCACTGGGGAGATGATGAAAGATGGAAAAGCATTTCCAAAGTCACGCTAACCAAAAGGTCAATTCAGCTGAGAGGAGGGGGCAGGGGGCAAGCCAGCAGCTGAGAAGTATTTGTGGCACCGGGGAGAAGAGGTTGTGATGTCCACTAAAGGAAACCATGGCTATGAATTTCGGGGCATCAAGACCTTGTCAACACAGCTAATCCACACGGATGTCGGCTGAATAAGCCTTCGATGACCAAAGAAGTGCACTGTGGAAACCATGTCCGCCTCCGGCAGGCCAATTTGTCCTCATATTACACACTCTGCTTGCTCTGTCCCTGGCCCCTGGATCGAAGATCTGTGTTGACCCCCCCAACCCAATGAGGTTGACACAGCATGGTTAATAAGTCAACAGAATTCAGAAGTCACGACCAGATTAAGAAGGCTGTTTTATTTTGGTGCCCTGGACTTCAAGCAGATTAAATAATCAAAAAGGCCGAGCCATTGGGGTCATGTTTGAATGCTACAGCTGTTCACTGAGGTCTGACAAGCATTCTTTATGTGGCTCACCCTCTGAATGGGAAAGGCAGGGATGAGCCGGGTGAGGGCAGGGGACTGACGCTTTAAGAAAGAGAAGAGACACAATCAAACGCTCCTCTTCTGGAGAGCAATACCAGCCAGATGGAGACAAGGAAACAGGCTGCGTAAATAACTGGTCTGCCGAACACTTTGGTGATTTCTGCCCAAAGAAAAACACAAGCAGGATTCAGAAAAAAAGGAACGAAAAGCTGGGCTCCAAGCTTGTCATGCTCTTGGTTTGCTGATCTGTGAATTAATAAGGTTGGGCTACGTGTGCAGCCCAGGGAGACTCAACCATGAAAGGTAAGCCTGACCAATTCTGCCACCCCTTAGAGAAAAGTTCACTGGCTGCAAGAGGGAGGGGATTGCTTCAGAAACATGTCAGTGGGAAATCTATTGTTGTCATCTTCCTTAAGAGATCAGGCAGATGTAAGAAATATCTTTGGGAAGATTTATGTTTTTACCACATTGGGTGGAGAGGAACAGGCTGGAGACAAAGCATGCAGCCAGGATGCAGATATGCGATTGGCAGGTCACAGGCCATTTCACAGCAACATGGTGCCAGGCGCTGGAATTTATATATTATTCCCTTTGGAGTGGGGATGGAACCAAAGGAAGAATGAACAAACAAGTCCTAGTTTCAGCCAGAGAAGCTGAAGCTGATCAACAGATTAGCATATTCTGTAGAAAGCATGTTCTATGGCTTAAGAATTGATTTCCGACAGCTAATTAATGTTCTAGCCTCACAGTACCGTGAGGGGTGTCAGTTCAGTTCAAAAGAGAAGATGCTTTGGCTTTGAAAGGAATCATTTGGATTATTTGCAGATTATAGAAAGGAAAACAAGAGTTTTGTTTTTTTATATTCTGGAATAGGAAAGAAAGCCATGGCGCCTGCCATGCTTGAACAAAATCAATCCAAGGAGCATCTCTTTCAGAAGGTTCCCCACACATCTGTCCTCTGGCCCTGTGCACCCACCCAAACTCCGAGTAGAAAATTCAAGAACAAAGGAAACAGGCTGAAGAGTACTTGACAGCCATACTGTGTGTTTCCCAAGATAAGATCCAAACCAAACAAGCAATCTTTTTTAACAGCATCTTATGAGTAGATAATTATTTTGAATTTTGAATATCATTGTATGGCCTTCTGAATTCCTTTACCAATTTAATAAAATGCCATTGTTAGATAGATGTTTGTAATATTTTGAAATTCAACTCTCAAGAAACAAGAAGGGAATGATGTATACCTTTGTGTCATCTAGAAGTATCTGCAGAAATGTAAATGGATACCCTACCCTCTCTGAACCCTACTAAGAGACCCTTTTTGGTTCCAGGTCTCTCTCTTACCTTTGCACAGCTAAGGAGTTCTGGATGGGAACGCTGTTTGTAGCAATGCTTGTAATTAAGGGAAAATAAAAAACCACAACAACTCAAGTGGCCCTCACTAAGGCAGTGAATAAACATAACATTTGACATGGTCTTACCATAAAATACTCTATAGCAGTCAAAAGGGAAAAACTAGTTTTTTATGTATCCATGTCAATAGATTAATTTTAAATGAATAAAAGATTACAGAATGAGACATCCGAAGATTATATTAATGTGAACTTGCAAACTGCTCTACAAATCATTGTGTGTGTGTGTGTGTGTGTGTGTGTGTGTGTGTGACAGTCAGTGGAACTCAGCAGATTAGAACTCTCACAGGCTCTGGAAGCAGACTAGGATCAAATCATGGCTCTGCTGCTTACTAGTGTGTGACCTTGGGGTAAGTGATTTTCCTTTTCTGTGCCTCAGTTTTCTTACCTTTAAAATCATGTAAATAACAGAACTACATTTACAAAGCAGGGCAAAATGTAAACGGTTACCTACTACTGTTCTTTATAACCACTGTTTGTAACATGTCTGAAAGGGTACATCATAGTGACAGAGGCAGGGAACTCCTGTTAGAAAAGATGGTACTTGGGCTCTAATCAATGGAAGGTTCTGGATTACCAATGCATTATTCATTGGATTTAGCTCAGCGGCATAAGCGCCTGCCTTGCAAGCAGGCAGTCGTGAGTTCGATCCCTGGTACCAACAAAAACAAAAAAGACAAAAAAAAAAAAAAAAAAAAGGTGAAGGATGTGTGATAAATCGTGGATGACACATAATTGTTATAGGAATGTGAATGGGGTCAAATCCAGGGCCTTCACACTGAGCTGCATCTCCAACCATCCAGCCTTTTTTAATATTTTGAGACCAAATCTCACTACATTATCAGATCGGGCATAAAATTATGATCTTTCTTCCTCAGTTTCCCAGAGTTCTAGGCTCACAGATGTGCACTACCACACCCAGCTTTGATGTTTATTATGTTATATTTAATGCTTCTATGCATTGTACAAATATCCTGAGTAAAAAAGAAGCAGAGACGTCTTTGGCATTGTACCTGCAAAAAAGGACATCCATTTTTAGGAATGCTTTAGACCTGTCCTAGCCAATACAGTAGCCACTAGGCACATGTGGTCATTTACATTTAAATTAAATACAAATCAAAATTCAGTTCCTTGGTTGCAGTAGTCACATTTCAGGGGCTCAGTAACCACATGTGGCTGGTGACTCCCCTACTGGACAGCACATGTAAAACATTCCTATCATCACAAAAAACTCCATCAGACAGTGCTCCTCCGAGCACACTCTGCAGAAATGTGAGCATCTGCAACCCTCTGTCACTCTTCCTCATGCCGGCGCCTCAAAGCCAAGCTGTGATCTACAAAGGGCATGTGTTCCTGAGATGTTTTTCAAGTGTTCTGTTTGAGGTTCTTAAGTCTTCGATTATTTGATTATTGAGGAGCTGAGAAAGTATGTTTTCGGAGGCTCTGACAATAGTTAGCACAGACTTTCCAGTTGTTATCCATGCTGGGATATACTTAGTCCACCCTGATTCTGCTGAAGATAAGTGATACAATCTTTTTCCTAGGATGGAAAAGGGGACCTGGCTCAGAATCATACAACCTGTGAATTCAAAGGGAGAGAAATGTTTATCTCCAGCCTTAAACACTGGTTCCATCCCAAGTTGTTTCTGTTTTCCTAGGTGAGCTGCTGCTGCTTTCAAGCATGATCTTCCTACTCCAGGGGGCCTGTGGCTGCCCAGAGAAGTGCTTCTGTCACTCATCTTCAAATTCTGTAGACTGCAGCCACCGAGGTCTGGCTGAAATCCCTCCCAATCTGCCTCCTGAGACACTAACTCTGCTCTTGCAAGATAACCAGATATACCAGCTTCCTGCTTTTGCATTTAGGACAGTGCCACGGCTCAAGACTTTAAATTTGTCCAACAATTCCCTTTCAGAACTGGTCCCAGAAGCTTTCCATGGACTTCAGCACCTGGAGGTTTTAAATGTAACCCAGAACTCCCTGCTTTCTTTGGAGAGCAGGCTTTTCCACTTTCTCCCACAGCTGCGAGAGCTTGATTTGTCATCCAACAACATAAGCCACCTACCCACGTCCCTGGGTGAGCCTTGGGAGAACCTAACTGTATTTGCAGTGCAACAAAACCAGCTTCAGCATCTCAGTCGTGAGCTTCTAGAATCCATGCCCAGGGTGAGGCTGTTACTGCTCCAGAACAACCTCTGGAAATGCAATTGCCATCTGCTTGGTCTTAAACTCTGGCTAGAAAAATTTATCTATGAAGGTCAGTAATGTCTATTTGGAAACCCCATCTGTATGTCACCAGCCTAGAATGAACCTCATCTGTTCTCTGCATCAGCAGAAACACTGAGGAAAGTGCAAGGGACAGCTTTAAACTTTTTCACATTGATGTCATTTCAAGATACGGCAAAAGAGGCAATTAAGTCATTACAGCGAGTTAGATGCAGGTATTTACATTTATCTACAAATGTAATGCAGGGAGATAGCTTTCTACTTGTTTGAGTCACACAACCCAAAGTGATTTATCTGGGAAGTATATACTTAAGATAGAGGAACTTCAACTGCCACCTAGTAACTGCTCAATCCTAAAGGAACACTGACCTCTAATTTTCAAGTATGATGCAATTGTGGGCAGGGCTGTCACTCTACAGGATATTTTACCCTTTGTCTGCTTCTACCCACTTAATAGCAATAATTTTCCCAAAGACAATTCCTTCTGCTTTTGCAAAGACTATTGTTATTGAAATTGAGAACATGAGGGCCTCTCTGTGAGGTTTCTCTTTCTTTAACTAGATGCTTAAAGCACATGTAAGAGATCAGAACACTAATGATGAGCTCTGGACATCATCCAGGGGTGAGAAAACCATAGCCTGAGAGCTGAATCCAGCCTCTCTGCTACGTACTGAGTGGCTGCTTCACACTGTGGGACAAGGTTAGGGATTCCTAAGAGACTCTATAGAAAAGCTTATAGTGCTTACTATGTGGCCCTTAATAAAAGCTTTGCAACCAGAGTTATAAATAGGAAACAGGAGCCCAGAGGAGTGCAATAACTTGCCCAAGTTGAAAGCACAGATGACAATAAGAAGCAAGGATTTTTTCCATACCCCCACAGTGTTTCTCTGTGTACCACTCACTCATTCACACACTTGGGTGCTTTTTATATGCCAGGTACTGTTCTAGATAATGAGGACAGGGCAGTGAGCAAGAAAACTCTTTCCATCACGAAGGTTGCACTGGAGTAGCGGAAACAGATGCTAAGAAAATCATAAGTAAAGCTACCTGTTCATATAGCAGCGCTGAGAAGACAGTGGGCAGGGAAGTGTGCAGAGAGATGGGATGAGGAGCGGCAGAGAGGGAGCAAACAGGACGGACAGGGAAGGCTGCTCCTAGGAGGTGAGAATAGAATCTAAGCAATGAGGAATGAGCCCAGAGAAGACTGGTGGGCTTGCGGGGGAGGACAGCAAGTGCCAAGGGACTGACTAACTATGTGGCTTTGCTCAGTGAGAGACCAGAGAGTGCTGGAGCAGCAGAAGGCAGTAAAGGGGACAGAGATGAAGCCGGTCAAGTGCCTCAGGGGCCAGGTGAGGTAAGACAGTATGCAGCCGGCCATGATGTCTGCATTCTATCCTAAGTGAGATGGAAATTTCTGGAGGAGTTTCAGCTGGGGAACAATATGATCTAATCAAAATTTAAGGCCATTCTGCCAGCTCTTGCAAGGGTAGACCGAAGACTGAGGTGGAGAAAGTGATTTCAAGGAAGAGACAGTGAGGCCGGAGCCAGGTGGTGAGCAGTGATCCACACTGGGAGACATTTGGAATGCAGAATGGACAGAAATTGCCAGTGGGCTGGAGTGGGAGGTGAAAAGAATCGTGATGAGGGAAGTGCTTTGCCCTGCAGGGGTAGCCCCATAAGTAGAGATGCCCTTAGTGATGCAAGGCAGACTACGGAGCGGAATTGAGGGAGGGGAAGTGTAACAGGGAGGGGAGGGCTTCAGTCAGAACTCATTTGGGGCCCATTGGAGATGCCAGGTACCAGGGGAATGCTGAGTTGTTGGTCAAATGTTTGAGCCTGTGGCTCCGGAGGATATGTCAGGTACAGACATAAGTTAGAGGACCAATGGCATCTGAATAGTTGCAGCTGTTGTCAGAGGGTGGCAAGTTACAGCACAGCATGAGTTCAAATGTTCAATCTCACAGAATCCTAGAGCTTCTCAACAGTGTAACAGCAAGTAACATAGTACTAACCAGCCAGCGTTCAAGACAGCAAGGCCAAGTTCGAGGAGGACAGCAGCAGACTTATAATGTGGGGTTCTTCTGATAAGAGGCTGCCAACAAAACAAAAGGAACGCCTAGAGGTAGAGCAGAAGGAGCTTTTTGTTCTGGATTAAATTGCACACATAAGCCAGATAATAACAGACAGTCTATCAAAAAAGAATATTGCTTGAAAAAAAATAGTTCCCTTCATAAACAAATGCATACAATACAGATACTATAACAGGACAGGCTAAGTGATATGATAACCCTCGATATCAATCACATATGCATTAAAAGTTTATTGTCCATTCATGTCAGAACCAATAGGTTTGGGGCAGGGGCTGCATTACAGGCAGTCATTCCAGGACACTGGTGATGCCACCAGTTCACCACTTGGTCCCTAAGGTCACCATCAAAAAGCAATAAAGCACATGGAGGATGTGCTGAGGATGCCCGTGCTCTTAAGTGGTTTTTGTTGGTTTCATTGGCCAAAACCCAGTCACATGGCTCCAAATAGTCTTCCTGTAGGACTAAGGGCAGAAAGATTTGCCTTGGTAAATTCATAATAATAACTGCTCTGCACAAATATGCACTTAGATTCTGAAATGACTATTCCTCTGTATTTACAAGGAAGCAAATCTTTTCCATATCATGGTGTGCTTTATCAAACATTTACTCTGGCTAGGTATTTGTGTTCCTGACTTTCTATCCATGGGAGCCTCTGAGAAATCTTGGGGTATAAATTTCATTATGATCTCCCTCTCAGTCTTTCCAGAAGCGTGAGCAAAGACACAGGAAATTTTTTCAGGGTTACACAGTTTGGCAGGTGGTTTTCATGGCAGTACAGGAGAAGCAAGCCACCAAGTCCTGCCTAGTCAATGAGTTTTAAGAGGGCTATTCTGTTCACTCCCCCAGCTGGGACTCTACAGAGGAGGAAGTAGAGAGAGGTACTGACTGTAACAAGAAAACCCGGGATGCATAGGGAGGGCTAGGTTTGTGGATTGATTGGTTCACTCATGACTCATGTGAATTTGCACAAGAATTATCCACCAGAGCAGAATGTGAGGGCTTATCTAACAGTGATTTGTATGTTCTGAGCTGGGTACAAATATAATGGTTTTATGGAAGAACAGTTAGTCAATGATGTCCCAAAGTCAAAAAATATATCAGTGGCAAAAGTAGGCTACAATGAAGTAGTTGAGTCCAGTGCTCTTTCTAAGGGAGAATTACTGAGTATCCAGTCCCCTAAACACCGGAAGTCTATATACCTAAGGAAACTGATCACCTTACAAGGAATGGAAACTGCATATAACTCACTAGGAAGTTTGGCATTCAAGGTAGCAAATGTTTTGAGATCTGAGAAGATGCATTAATTAAACTTAATCCCATGGACTAAAGATCATCAGATACACACAACACTCAAAAGACTACTCTATTCGGCATCACTGAAAAGTGTCATCAGATGCATAGGGTCTTTATAATTAACCATAACAAATGTTCACAAGAACAGACATTTATTTCATGCTTTCATTATGTCCACTTGGAATCTAGCACAAAGCATTTCTGGTCCAGCAGGCTCATTAGTGGAGTGGGCAGCAGAAATGCAAGGGGCTAAGGTACCCTCCGTGTTGGCCTCCAATGCTCCTGGTCAGGTTTTGCACTATTCTCCCTTAGCATCTGTATACAGTAAAAGTAACTTAGCTTGCAATGACTTCTTAGTCATAAGTAATTGCCAATTTAGTGTGATGGCATTTTTAGTATTTAGCCAATTTAGAAATCCTGAAATCATAAACTATGGTTGTTAAATTCTTCAACTCCTGAAAAGTCAAAGAGGTACTTTATAAATACCATCTGCATAGGTTTTGCAGGTTAGGGATTCTGAAAATCAGATGTATTAGGGCTCTGTTATCAGCTTTTGTTTTTATTTTTTAAAGGGGGAATAACAGACGGCATTGTCTGTGGATCACCTGACACCTGGAAGGGGAAGGATCTCCTTAAAATCCCCCACGAGCTGTACCAGCCTTGCCCTCCTCCTCCTCCTCCTCTTCCTCCTCCAGAGCTGGTGTTTTCCCAGGCTCGGCAGCATGACTCTGAACAAGGGGAGCTCCCCAAGTCTCCTGAAGACCACAATGTGGGCCGGCATGATATCTCAGAGTGCATGGTCAAACCCAAACCAAGGCCTGCCAACCTGCGTCACGCTGTGGCTACTGTTGTTATCACTGGGGTTGTGTGCGGCATTGTGTGTCTCATGATGTTGGCGGCTGCCATCTATGGCTGCACCTACGCAGCCATCACAGCCCAGCACCACGGCCGAGCCTCAGCTCAAACCAGTGAGTCTGGGAAGATGGGAGGAAAAGAGCCATTTGACAGTTTGCCAGCCTGAGAGCGTGCACCTCAAAGAGGACTGAGTAACACAGGCTGGAAGAAAGGCCTGAATATTACCTGATATTGTCACATTTTGCTTTTTCTAAAAGGTTTTAAAAAGTGTGTCTTTAAGAAGATATACCTGGAAAATATACATTGAAATTTTTAAAATACCACAGATGAAATAGAGATGTACCCTGGCTCAGGAAGTTATGACTGTGATTCCATGGGGGGATGCCATACACAGAGGCTGAGAAGATACTAGCTCTTGCAGGTACCCTTCTCAGGATTAAGCTGCTTTGCAAAGAAACAGGAATTCCGGCACACAAGCCAATCAGCATTCTCGGGAGCTTTAGGATCCCTGGAAAACCGCCCAGGTTTGAGTGCCTAGGAGAAGCTGGTGATCTTCCCTGAGGGGCGCTGAATGCCTCTCTAATTCAAGTTCATGCTAAATCGGTGATACTTTCAGATGTTGTGTATGTTATATATTTAATAGGAGCATTTGTTAGTGGGGAATTTTGTAGCTTGCCACAAGAGTCAGATTATATTTAACTTTTTAAATCAGAAAACCATTTGAGGCTTTCTAGGCCACAGAGGAAGAGGAAGGTTTCATGCCTGGATAATGTAACTCAAGCCCAGAGTCTGCGGAAGTTTTCTGATGCAAAGGTAGAGTTTTTAAGCAAACACAAAGAGGATAGGGAGCCAGAATCCGAGGCATGTATTACTGAAAGCCATATCCACCATGCTGTTGTAACCTTCCATTTATAACTCTCACAGCAGGAATGAATTTAGGTTAGGCTGAGAGCGAGGTAACGGATTTTGTGTATTTGCATCTACATACATAGTGCACAGAGTGCACAGCCGTGTACAACCACACCCACACATAAACAAGCTTGGAGAAATCAGCTTGCCCACTAATGAAATGCAGCCGTGTTGGGGTAGGAGCCAGCAACTCTGATCACCACCCAGATTGTCTACTCAACACTCTGGGATAGGAAGTGAGAAGGAAGTCTGAGGAGAGTGAGAATTACCAAGAGACCCAAGATATGTGGTGGCAGCCTTCTTGAATGTTATTTAGGTCATGGCTCTAAAAAATCAGGTGTAGTGTGCTTAGTCCATGGACATCGTCCTGAAGAGTTGCATGCAAAGTGAATTTTTGTAAATTGAATCATCATTTTAATGCAGTAGGGGAGCTCACTATTTAAAGGGACCTTTCATGGAATCTTTCTGTAATGAAAATAATTGACTCCAGATTTACACATTTTGTAAATTTGCATTTTCTCATGCTAGGTTTTCTTAAAGTGGAATTTACCTGTTTTCTCTCAATTCATATTTACAGTTACTACTTAGGATTCAAATTATTTTACACAGGAAGAGAGCACAGAGGTGTTAAGGACATGGCAACTATAGGGCAAGCTGTCCCTCCAAGGCCATGACAGACATCTCTAATCAATCCCAGCTCCCCTCCCAGCAGAGCCCGGATGCATCACAGATGGTTTCTTAAGACAGCACTGTAGGCAACCAGAACAAATCAATTGGAACTGGTTCAAAGGATAAAGCACATTTGCCATTCAAGATACTGGCTCTACATTCACTCCTTAAGGCCATGTAAAAATTGGTTTGGATCCTAAATCAGTAGTGCATGCCCTATCCTAGCTGAAATGTGAATGGAAGGTTTACATGTGTATGGGAAGGACAGATGGAGCCCTTGCCTTGGCCAATGGTGTAATGAAGCCACAGCAAAACAGATGCACTGCACTCTACTGTGCAGGACTCCCATCAGTGCATCTCTATCACAGTGGCGGTCTGAACCTGCCCAGAGTGAGCCCTGGACCTGGGCCATCTTTTGGAGCAGTAGTTTTGCTGAATGGTTTTTCTTGGGGAATGGTTGAAAGTTGAATGGTGGTTTTTTTTCCCTGACTATCAAAATAAACCTGAATACATGAAGAATAGATTTTTAAAAGACTCCAGGGAAGGCACTGTCACATTGTCCTGCTATGCCACATGGGCTATTTTATTGGACAAGGGTCAGAATCCTGCTCTAAGGACATAGCAACGGCTTTTCAGGCAGGTAAATTCTTTCTTTCCGTTGCTCTGGACTGTGGATCCCTGGACAAAACCTCAATAAGAGAAAGGAAATTTTGAAAAAAATTTGCAAATATTTTATTCTTCACTCTGATTTCATCAAGTGTTCTCAGGGCTCATACCCACTCTGTGAGCTACCTGAACAGACATCACAGAGTTGAAAGATACTGAAGCAAATAAAATATGTTTCCTCCAACTGCAGCAACTTACCATTGTGAGCACATTGAACTCTGCCAAAGCGTGGTGACACTGCAGGTCAACCCTGTTCCCTGCCCACAGAGATGGCATGAAAAAGTTTCCAATATCCAACAGAAACCCCTGAACATAGCTAGAAACCTTCTTGTCAACACCCATATCCTATTAGATTTCGCAGGGCAGATGATAACTCACGCAAATAGACTTTCAGCTTTATGGATAGTCTTTAAGGGAAATGATTAAAATGAGGCATACATACATCAGATTTCTATCTATTGCTACAGTCACCACAAACAGCAGTTGGCAATGAAAATAATTACGTACTCTGAAGTGTCAACAGCTTCTCAGTACAGAAAAATACAAATCAAATTGTTTAGATTAGCAAATGCAGAGTTATCATTTGTTAATATGAGGAATGAAATGTTTTAACTGTAGAAAAACACTGCAAATGAAAGACCCAATTTGGAGTGTATTCTGCAAGAATCACAAATTATCTCTCATAACCACTGGAGCTCATGAGGGGTAATTCACAAATTCCTCATAGATTATTTTCAGCTGTTTATTGCTGCTGTCATATTCATAGATTTCCCTATAAAAATGTCCTTCCACAGAGAACCATGCCAAGGGTACACTAAGGACAAAAATCACAATTACTGTTTATTTTTTCTGACAAGATCCTCTAAAATATCATTTTGCATCCTATTTAGTAGAAGTGAGTAACTACAAACAGCTGATTTTTGCTTTGCCAGAGATCATGAATTCACAAACAGATGCCCACGTTGTCAGCGGTAAAGTATATTAAGCAAAGGCCTAGAGAAATGGACACTGTGGTGGAGATTTTGGAGTAAAAAGATCTAGCACCAAACCCACATCTGAAAAATATCTACAACTAATGTAGATATTATTGTCCATGCAGGAAGATTCTTGGGCTTACGATTATAAAGTGTTAGTGAAATAACTGTCTTATTTTTCCCCATAAAAATGGAAGACTAAAAAGTTCTACACAGGTGAGTTTCTTTCTGAAAGTGTGTGAAAATCAAATCTCATGACTAAAGTTAACTAAATAATGCAGAAAAAAGACACCATATCAGATTTCAAATATTAAAGGAAGTGGCTAAATTTCCAAAATAATCTCCCTGCAGTAGACACTCATTTAATTATATAATGACTATGAAAAACTTATAAATTTCTATTTCAGGTCAGGAATTTTCTCTTTCCAGTTTGGTAAAACCCAGTAGTGTAACCATTACTAAATGTTATTGATAGAAACTTACCAGAAAATGATATTTCAAAACTTCCTTGGCATTTCTGAGCTGTGGTTATATGCACAAATTCAGGGAACCATCCTGTCTTTCCCTTTGATGAAATGCTTTATTTTTTAATGCTTAAACTGCAATGAAGCCTCAAATAAACCTTTATCCCATTCAGAGGAGCACTTTTATAAGCTACTACCTTTGAATTCTTGACTGATCTTGCATATCGACTTTCACTCCAGTGATGCTAAATATTCTTTAGGTTAGGATGTCAGCCAGCCATAAAGGGCTGTCAAAAAGACATAGAAAAAGAATCAAAGGACTGAGAAGCCAGGAAAAGTCTTGAAGAGAATTTAATCGAGGCCTGGCAAATTTCAGAATACCTGCCACAAACCTTCTGATCCACTGCAGACCTTGCTAACAGATCATAGCAAACTTATCTGCTGAGCACAGACAAGACCTCAGAATCCTTTTAAATCTGTTTTCCAGGTACCCTTCACTGATCAACTGGAGTTGACATAAGAGATTAAACCTATTTACTGCTCTGATACAGTTCAGTGCCCTTATTTTACAGATAGGAAATAGAAGCATAAAAGTCACACACATAATTAATTGCATGTTTGATGAGTGCAGTTGCAGATGCATGAGGTAAACATGAATAATACAGGCTTTCCCCGACATCTTTTGTTCATTCTGTGGTGAACCAAAATATCTAGACTATGACATAATTACACTAACTATTAGTGTAATGACAATTATAGCACACCATCAACATTTGTTGGATATCCAACTTTGTGCCAGGAAATTTTCAAGCATACTAATTATTTTCTATAAACCTTATATTGATCAAAACAAGTGGGCATTTTACCACCATATTACAGGTGAAAGAATATTATCAGAGGGTTGGTTACTTGGCCAGGGTCATGCCACTAGGAAATGGTGGCAGAGGAACTATCATGCAGGTCTTCTTAAGGCCAAATCTTGTGCACTTTTGAAGGCGTGACAGATTTGAAGAAGTTAGAACCATTTTCTGGCACTACCCAACACTTACTTTAAAATATGGCAGAGAAAATGGATTCAACTGCCAAATACTATGTCAGTGCCAGAGTTCCTGTCCCATCAAAAACAGGACAGCTGAAGGAACCAAAGCAAAAGCAAAAACAGGGTCCTTTCATCACTCATGACTCTGCGGGGTTGGTAAGGACATTCTCAGAATATGTGGGGAAGAAACTCAGTCCAGATTTCTGCATTATTTGAAAAAATGATAGAGTCCACATTAAAATTTTAGCTAATACAGTCAGTCAGATTTCTCATTAAAAAGCTCATTTAAAAAGAAGGAAAAAGTTATGAGAGCCCTAGAAATTAGGACTACCACTTAAGGCTACCCAAGTCTCTACCACAAACCTCAACTGTCAAAGTCAAGGTGTGTGCCCTCGAGACATATGAACAGGGTGTAAAGGAGAAGAGTAGAGGTTTACACTACTGCTCCTTTTCTTTCCTCTAAGACACTGGCTTTGAAAAAATCAGGGAACCACCCTCTCCTATGTGTATGACACATGAGGACAACGAACTTCAACAACACCTCTCACTGAGATCTTTTTGGCTTCATTAACTAGAGATAAATGTATCACATAATAGGGAATAATAAAGAAATAAAAGACAACACAGTAAATATAACTTGGTGTTACAGTTTTTGTCTATTATCATAATCCATTTTGTCTTACCATAATGAAATACTTGAGGCAGGCAACTTTATAAAGAAAAATAGCCTTATTTAACTGAAGGTTTTCAAGCCTAGAAGTCCAAACAGTAGAAGACAATGGTGGGAGTGTTTGTGGAAATAAGAGATCGTATGTCCACAGGAAGCCAGAGAAATTAGGTGGGACCAGGATTAGGGTTTGATATCAGTCCTCTCGCAAAAACTAGCTGGGATTCCAGGAGAAATACTTTGATCCCTTTGGAAGGTAGTTACCTTTGTGACTTACTGGACCAAGGTTCATAGCATCTTCTGATACTACCATCCTGGGGACCAACCTGCCTAATTAGAACCTGGAGGGTGGAAAAGACTACATACAAGAAGCATCCCTTCCACCAGTTTTTATTCTTTTTCTGTTTTTTGAGTCAGGGTCTTACTATGTAGTTTAGGTTGGCCTTGAACTCACTACATAGCCCAGGCTGGCCTCTAACTTGCACCAATCTTCCTGCCTCACCCTCCAAAGTGCTGGGGTTACAGGCATGCACCACCACACCTGGCTACCTACTCTGTCTTACGAGGGATGACACAGACTTTGATGTCTTTAGCAAGGAAGCAGCAGGAAGTAGTTTCCCCTTATGGACCCTGCATTAATGGAAGACACCTGGTCACAGGACGTTTGCCTAGCGGCTGTGCATAGCAACTAAGGCTACATCTCAGTCTCTCCAAGGAGCACACTAAAGTCAGCAACAAGAGACACTTACAGGGAGGCTGGCTACGCAACCCACTGGCAAACACTATGTATTTTAAGGATGATCAAAATTAAGAAAAGAAACTTAACTCAGGACTCCTTAAAAGACTCTTATGAAAAAAAAAAAAAAAAGAAAGGCAACATTTCAAACAAGATGAAAAAAGAAACATGAAGGATGAATTTTAGAATTTATTGTAGTACAATATTTCAAGTTTCTGGTGAGGTTGGTATACAGTGTGTTTGCTGTACATGTGTGTGTACACATACACATTTTATTTATGCTTTATCTATATCTCCTCTTATCGATGCATTCGAGGTACGTTCCAGTGACAAAATCATGTCACATTGCCAAGTTCAGAGCCAATGAAACAGAGATGCATGGAGCTCCAGGGGGAACACTCAGGTGACAGGACAATGGATGGAGGACACAACACTCTTATAGGACAAAAGAAGTGAATGACTGCAAATAACCATAAAATAATAATGAATAATAGCAATACGTCAAAAAATAATTCAATGACAAAGGAATACAACACTCAGTCATTATCAGTGGCATAAAAAGAAATACTGTCACATATTTAATGAGGGCTACAGAGCACACACTACAGAGTGCTCACTCCCAGAATACAGAAGGGGCAGTACCGATAAAGAAAATAAGGGCTTATGTAGATAAAAAGCCATAGTAAAGAATTAACAAACAGATAATTGAGCTCCTGATAAACAGATTAGAACACATCAAACAGAAAAAAAAGGTTTTTAAGACTCAGAAGTGATCTTTCTAGGGTTAAAAATCCCAAGTCCTGCAGGTAAAGATATGCTTGCTAAGAAACAGATTAACAAAATAATTCAAAAGTTAGTGACTGGCACACGGAAATCCGGATCAGCAGAAATTGGGTACAGGTAAATAAATAGATTCAAGTAGAATGTTAAGACTTAAGGGCAAATAAAAGGTTCTACAATCTACAAACAAACAAACAAAAAACAAAACAAAACAAAATTGAAACTACACTTAGATATGCCTGGGCTCAGGGATCATGACACCTTTTTTCTTTTGAAGAAAAATAACTCCACATATTTTAACTGAGTAAGAGATGACAAAGGAAGAAGAGAAGAAAAGGGAAGAAAACCGTGAGGATGCTATGAAAGTGGTGGTGATAAGCCATGAAACTGTTTCAAATCAGTTAAGTCTCAGTGTTTGTATTCATATGGTTACAATGAAGTGCAGTCAATAATTCACCAAACTTCTAATTTTATAAGTATCAATGATAAAGGAACAAACAGCAAATACAAAATCCATGGCTCATAAAACCTAACATTTACCAGAGGGAGAAAATAGAGAGACAAGAAATATATGAGGTTACAAAAAGCAGATGTGATGGCCAGGAAGTGGTGTGGATGTGACACAGGAAGAGTTTCTATTCTACATTTGGGGTCAGGAAAGTCTTTTCTGAAAAAATACTTAAACAGGAAAACAATGGAGCCAGGTGATGAAGACACTTGGTGGTAATATCTCAGAGAAATAGTTCAGCTAGTGCAAAGACCACAAGGTAGCATAAGCGTGGTGTGCTTGAAGGACAGTCAGGTGAAAGTCTGGCTATAGTTGAGTGGCAAAGGAGAAGGAGGAGGAGGAGAAGAAGAACAAGAGGATGAGAAGGAGAAGGAAAAACAGAAGCAAAAGGAGAAGGAGGAGGAGGTAGAGGAGGAGGAGAAGAAGAAGAAGGAAGAGGTGGAGGAGGAGGAGAAGGAGAAGGAGGAGGAGGTAGAGGAGGAGGAGAAAAAGAACAAGAGGATGAGAAGGAGAAGGAAAAACAGAAGCAAAAGGAAAAGGAGGAGGAGGAAGAGAAGGAAGAAGAGGAGAAAGAGGAGGAGGAGAATGAGGAGGAGGAGGAGAAGAAGAAGAAGGAGGAAGAGCTGAGGTCAGAGTCACGTAAGACCTCGTGGGTTGTACTAGGTAGCCCTGAGCCTCCTGACACTCCTGGCATTGTGTAACTGCCACTCCCTGATGTGGGCTGGATTCAGTGACAAGAAACAGACTATGGCATGAATGACAGCACATTACCTCCAGGATTGTTAACGAAAATCCCTGGCTTTTATCCTGCTCACTCTCTCTTGCTCATTCTGAGAAATGATTGTACAAGCAGTGAGCTTCCCTACCAAGAAACCTATGTCATGGGATTCCAGGAGTCGTTTCTGCTCAGCCATTGGTAAGAAACTGAGATCCTCAGCATAAACATCAAAGGGTCTGGATCCTGAAAATTGAGTGAATATGGAGGTACTCTCCAATCTGTGGAGCCTGGAGAAGGTTCCAGGGCCCTCAGCTATGCCTTCACTGCAGCCTCAGGGCATCCTGGGCTAACACCTTGCCTGCAGCACCTGTGAGAAGGCCTGAGTGAGGACACCTGGCTATGCTGTTCCCAGATCGCTGCAGCACAAAGCTGTCATAATTGGTGATGGTTCTTAGCCGCAGCAAATTAATTAGCACACAGACAATAGTGATGATTTTAACTTTGAACTCTGAGTAAACAGAAATCAATAGAGAGTTTGCATGGAGGAAGGGCATGATATTACTTAACTTTTAACCTGACTGCTATGACTCCTACCAAGAACAAACTAAAGGGACAAGGAGGGGAGAAGGCAGTGGAACCAATGAGAATCCCATGACAAAAATTCAGGGCAGAGAAATACCGACAAGCAGTCAGACTTTCTACATAATGCACAGAAAGATCC